CGGAAGTACAAGGCGAGAGGATTGGGTTGAAACTGATGGTGAGTAGCACGCTCCTTGTTACTTCAGCTCGAGGTTTGACCCCGCAGCAAGGAGTTCTAGAACAGATGTAGCTTAGTTTGGGTATGCTGCAGTATACACTGCCAATGATAGCATGAATCGGAACGATGAAGGTGTATGGACTCAGACTTAGGGAATATTTGCTCGGAGGCGCACACCCTAGCGTCATCGCCTAGTTGCCTCGATTCCATAGATTCGGTATTTGTGGGATAAGGTAAGGCTGGGGCAATTCTCGAGAGGAGAGTTCGTGTGCGGAGCAGGCCATTATTGTTTTCCATACAAACATTCTAAACCCGATTCAGTCTCAAGTCGAGGTACGCTGGGCAATGTATATCTCGGACGCTGACTGCATGCGTCTAGAGCGACGCCAGCGTTAATTGAAAACTTTCGACATTGGATCCAAGTGACTAACCGCTGACACTCATTTGCCGAGTGACTCGCCTTGTGCACATTATGGGGGCTATGCCGGCATCAGGCCGCACAACACCAACCACCACATATAGCCACCCAACGCAAGGTGAGCATGAGGAGAATACGGAATCGGACCAGAATCATCGCAAAACACACTTGAGCCGAGAAGGTCATGGCGACTCTGCCCCTCCCAGCCCAGTGCTGTGGAAGATGCATGGCGATGATGCTATCGTTCGTATCCCCTACCAACACTTTAACGCATGACTAACTGCAAAATTGGTAGAAGCCAATCCAGAGGCATAAGACTGTTACCTTCGGCATCGCAGCACCTCTACACAAAACGTCCCTAAGCGATAATAAGGGCCTTGATGCTGTGGCAGAATATGATGAGGTTATAGACACAGAAGGCTACAAGGCTGATCTTGGTGGCCTAGAGTCAATTGGGACGAGTTTATCTAGCTTGGACAACTACGGCGGCTCAGATGGATCTTTGTCGATTCGACTTTGGGAAGCCATTGACAACACTTCTCTTGCCATGACCGACTCTTCAAATGTCGGCTTCGTTCCTGAAAGACAATTAGAGCAGATATTAGATGAGACCGCCATTTTTATCGAGCTAACCAAGCTCGAACGATCTTTCGCAAAGTGGATTTCAAAGCGGGTTAAATTTTGGCGAAATTCTCGCAGCCCGCACGATATCAAAAAGGATGCAGAAACTATCTGCGGAAACTCTCGTTCTACCCCAGTCATTGACGGCCACGATAGGGAGATCCCGAAATGCTATCGCAAGATATTTGCTATACTACTACTGATTGATGAGCCGAGAGCAATCAGAAAGTTTGTCAGAGAAGGGGTCTGCGATGCCCATCTCCCACTAGTCAAGGTGCCCGCTGGGAAAAGTACAAAAGCATTCTCACTAGGCATCAAGGAAGGCGATAAACCCATCAGGCTAAAATGCTTCAACGGATGGCAGCGCCAGGCCCTACAACGGTTCGAACAAAGGCAATGGAAGGTACTCGTTCCTTTCTTTGGTGACGAAAGGCCCCACGATGTCATTCAACTCGAAGAAGATACAATTTTGCCTTTCACATACCGGGAACACATTCGTACAGGATCACAAAGCAAGATATTCAAGGTTAGAATCCACACAGATTACCACAACTTCAATGATGATGAGGTGAGCTCTTCTGTAACTGCTAGTCTTGAATCAACGAGCAATAACTTAAGCTACTCACAGGAGATTCATGAGGTTTTTGCTTTGAAAGAGATTCCCAGAGATACCGGAGACCACAGACGGGAACTTCAAATGCTAAAGAGAGCAACAGGTGATCATGTTATCTCCCTATTGGCGACATACCACTACCATGATCATTACTATTTCATCTTCCCCTGGGCTAGATGCGACTTAGCGGTGTATTGGAAGGACAAAAATCCCGAGCCTAGTCATGATCGGGACACGCTTTTGTGGATGGCACGGCAGTGCATGGGGATATCAAGAGCACTAAGTCATGTTCACCAACACGCGACCCACTCATGGAGCTCTTTAATGGAACCTGCCGGTAGTCTCAGATCACCAAGTCACAGGCCATTCATAGCGCCAGAACAGCCTGGGTTGAGCAGAGCCCCTCGATTGGAACTGAATCAAGCACATCATCGGTTTTACGGCCTTCACGGGGACATCAAGCCCTCAAATCTCTTATGGTTCCCGAACTGCGCTGACCAAAATGGTATGGGAACAATTAAAATCTCTGATTTCGGTACAGGGGAGTTTAGCAGGACAAAGTCTACGAGACGCCCTTCAGATTCTATCTCTTACACACCATCATATCAGGCACCTGAGGGTAACAACCCAGGTCCTGAAATCAGTATGTCATCTTCGTACGACATCTGGACGCTTGGCTGCCTTTTTCTTGAATTCATCACATGGTATATCGGCGGTTGGAAGCTTCTAAAGGAGTTTCAGCAGCGCAGAAGGCGGAGCAACCATAGTGTGCATCACAACGATGCCTTCTTTGAGTTGACGGATGATCTGGGGGGAGGTATTGATGGACACGGGCCTTTACATTATGCTAAACTCAAACCTGTGGTCATCGAGGTACGTGCTTTAGGTAGAATGCCGCTAGCTTCTGAACGCTAAACTTCAATAGCATTTCGAGAAACTTCGCAAAAGCCCCAAATCTTCACTATTTATAAATGATTTGTTGGCCATAATTGAAAGAGATATGCTAATTGTCGAGCCCCGAGGCGTTTGGGATGAGCGCTGTCGGATTAATTGTATTGGGGTCATTCACCATTTAGACGGACTGATTGACAGATGCGAGGATGATCCTAGCTATGCTGGTTTTTCTTGAGGGATTACTACTACACGTCTGTTTCGCTCAACTGATCTGTCAACATCAGTGTATACCTCACGCTGGCGCTCGATGGACAAGCTGCTGAATCCTTGAAGATGCCCGGACGCCAGCCTATACAACAGCACCGATATTAAGAATCGAAGAGAGAGCTTACTTAGGTGCATACTCCGGGCACGAATTCCTATGCCCTACGAAATCACCAGACTTCCTGTCTTTAGTATAAGGGACGGTGAGAGTTGAATACAGGTTAAGCACTGACTGGAGACGAAGCTGAATACGAGGCAATATTAGGGCCGAGCAACAACCGATATTGCGAGGGCTCCTGGGAACTACCCTACCTCGAGTGCTATTTCATCTCACGGCAAAACCTACGGCCCGCGGGGAACCTCCAACCAGGTCTATTTCAACGAATCGACCATTAGTACAGCTTGGCGCTGGTCACAACTACCACTAGCACCCTGAGTAGTAAGCCAGAGGCTTGAAAGGACCTAGGTCGCTGACGCTCCTAAGTGTTCAATACTGCGAGCCTTGCGTCCATGGACACAAGTTGCTAGTTGGGTATATAGGCGTCTCTCGTCGAAGATATTTACGTATTGTAAATCCTAGCCTAGCACGCTCTTATGCCTTGGAAAGGCTCTAGTAGAAGCTTCGCTGCTACTATAGCGTTAAATGCTACCACAATAAGTTAAGGACATATAACGATTATATAGAAAATCATTCATCTTGGTGTCCTTGTTATAGTTATGATAGATGCCCTATTTTACCTCTTAGGTGATGGCGGCGTTAAGAATGAGAAGGTGACACGTGGTGGATGTGTGAATGTTGTTGATGGTGGTTGCGTTACCGTCATACTAGCCATCCTGCCTTCCAATTATTAGATTTGTTTCTCACTATCGGTAAGACGTCTATTGGTTTGGCCTATCTATTTGCCTAGGCCCGTATTCCCATCGTTACAACTTTTGGTTAGTATCTCGGTAGTAATGCGTGTGGTAGCCCTGTTCTGGTGACTAACGATATTCTCGTTCTTATTTCATCTCTAGACAAATCATCGTCGACAATCGTCTAGCATTAATAGGTACTGTCATAGATATAGAAGAAGTTGAAGGCCTTGACATATACCACGCTTTGCTAGATCATCTCTCTCTCGCTTGACTTAGGCTTCGGTAAAGCCCAACCCATGGGCGCCTGCCAAGCACCCATGGGTGCTTGGCAGGCCCCCAAGTAGAGCCCATGGGCTGGGTTGGGTTCGACCCAACTTGGGGGCCCAACTAAATTTTTATATATATAATTTTAATATAAGTTATTTAGCTATAATTTACTTTTAAATTAAATTAAAACTGTTATAAATTTTAATAAAAAGCCTTTTAAAATTATTTATAAATGTTTAAAAAATAGTTTTATGATTAATACAACGATTAGTACATAGCAACTTGGGTTTTGGGTTCTTGGCAAAACCTAACCCAAGAGGTAGTGGGCGCCCATGGGCTTACTTGGGTCCTTGGGTGCTTGGCATTGGGTTGGGCCGGCGAACCCTAGCTTGACTTCCCCCGAGGATTCTCATTACCAAATGCAGACGTATGATTCATCTTCGACATATCAACATCCACGTCCTCTGTTGGGTCCACGTCTGTTGGGTACTCCCCGTTTGATCCATCTGTTCCATCTACGGCGGCCATATGGTCGACTATAGCCAAATTGTCGGCCAGTGAAGAAAGTGCGGCCTTGTCCAGCACCTCCAGCCCGTTCCTCTCTTAGCTCAAACGCAGAGAGCCTACAGGATGATTTAAATTCAGAAAATTGACACTTCTGATCCCCGGGAATATCGACTACAAAAATCTTGGCTACAATGCTTCAACTCTGCGAATATGACATAAAGAGCAAGGTCATATCTGACAGAGATCCTCGCTTCATGTTGGAACTGTGGTAGACGCTGTTCACCCGCATGGGCACAAAAAGGTAGACTTTTAACTTTGGTCTTCGCTTCCATCATGCCTTGCCATACTCCTAGTAATGCGCAGTTATCAGTTGATCAGTGCGCTAGCACCTTGTTAGCTGAATAACCATGTAATGAAGAAGAAGAAAAAAAGTTTGCTAGTTGCTATCCTTAGTGATCTAAGGAGCATCAGGAGTTGAGCCCAATGCGGGGGTCGAACCTAGTTAGATTGTTAGTACTTCATTTGACACATTCGTAAGTTGAACATGCTACGTACCCGCAACCTTGAGATTAAGAGTCTCACGCTCTACCGATTGAGCTAACCGGGCGATTCGTGACTGTTGCACACCGCTTTTGTTAAAACAAGTAGTAGAGCAACAACGATGTAGAAATACGGTCATTCTTAGAGATCTCTGATTGGTAATGAACTTGTAAATAAGCCAACGATATTATTCTTCAGCAAGTCGATTTCGATTTGAGATAAGAAGAGACTTCTGCCTGCTTTGTTTATACGTCGTCCGCAATCAGTTATACGCTTGAGTGGGCGAGGTAGGCAAGAAGAGGAATATGTAGCGTATTGAACGGTAATCACAATTTGAAAGTTCGTCTTGAAACCTGGGCTTACAATGATTCCTCAATGGCTCGGTTCTAAAGACATAGTGAAACTTAATGCAAATTTATCTAGCCTCTTCAACGCATAAATAATTAATTGAAGCGGCCGACTTCTCTTATAGTTTCATAGTTCCATCTCTGGACTGGCCCATCGCGAGGCTGCTAAAGATCCACATCTGTATAGACCACTATCCGCCACTATAACTATGCTTGTGATTAAATTACTAGAAGTTACTTTGAATGATCTCGATAAATACAACGCGTTATCTACCTATCACCAAACACGAGAAAATATCAAACAACTCATTATAGCTTCATACTCGCGTCTTCAGCTACTAGCCAATCACTCTAAACCCATGGATTAGAGATCGCCTAGGATACTATGTTGTCAAGTAGACGAGTCTTTCGTGTTCAAGACATTAACTATTCAATGTGCAAGCACAGTCAACTACCATGCCCCTCTGCAGTACTGTCCAGTGTACAAGAATATATTATCTTAAAATCCCACGGGTTCAAACTCATATGTCCCACCATTGTTGATAGCTTAAGACCGTCTATGAACCCACGGAGTCTCCTTGAATAGACGAGAGGTAGCCAAACTCGTGAAACCAAGGGCCAACCATATTTCATCGTAATTGGCAAACAATCTCACGTCTTGTGCAGAAGAGAAGACTGGTAGGCTTCGCTACGCTCCCAGATCTGAGCTCTTTTCATTACCCCGAGTCCAACAAATATACAGCTACAATGACCACGTCCGTACATACAATCAGATGAGGTGTGTAGTGCCAAGCTCGCGGCCGAAACCAAAGGGTATCAAAGGCTCAATATATGTGAAGAGAGTCGCACGATCAGAATATTGGATAGTTAGCCAATCTTCACTACACTAGGAGGTCAATATCCACTCCAGGCAAACTCCCCTCTAGATTTCCTAACTGGAAACAAAACCATACTATATTAATGAAATCAGTCCCTCACTCTCATTTCCTCGTCTTAAGCCATGGTCTTTAATTCGTTCCCGCCCTTTAACATTCAAGTAAGGTTATACATAACGTCCAATAGGGGCTTGTGGTTGTGGTTCTGGACCAGCCTGACAGTTGATGTATGTTGACAACATCCAAGAAGTATTGCATGACTGGCACATTGATATCTTGATGATACTGCACAAGAGACACGGTAGTCTATCTAATTCACTATACAGGTAGTACCAAATATTATGAAGTACTTCATCTTATTTATTGAGAAATATGTTCTACGCACTTGATGTGAGAGGGGTAAAGGTTAGCCGTAGTAACGCCCATTGGTACTACGCTATATATTGCTCACACTTGAATGCGATTTTTGGACATTCATGTTATTGTCTGGATAGAGAACACACTTCGGCCCCGGGCAGAATATCTCAAGGGCGGACGTGCTGCCTTGTAGATCTAAGAGCCGGTTTCAGTCCTAGTAAAGCCTGGTCATTCATCATAACGTAGACCTAGTATCTGATGAAGAAAACAGTAGAGCCACACGACCTATAGAGCCTCCATAGGCTCAGCAAACACCTCATCTATAACCGCGACGAGCTTCTCCACAATTATCTCAATCACATCGTGAGTGACATTGTATGCCGGCATGATCATGATATGGTCACCCTTTTTGTTACCCGCGCACCCCTGGCCGTAGTAGATGACCATATTGTAGCGCGGGCTCAGCGCCAGCCCGTGGACCCGGTGTGCGACCTGCAATGCAGGGTCGAATGGCACTTTGGTCTCTCGGTCCCTGACGAACTCTATGCCCCAGAACAGACCACGGCCTCGAATGTCGCCGACGTGAGGGTGACTCCGCAGCTTATGTCGTAGTAGTTTCTCCAAATACCGGCCTTGGGCTCTGACGTTTTCCAGCATGTTGTTGGACTCGATGATTTGCTGGACTTTGAGAGCGGCGGCGCATACTATCGGGTGATCCTGATAGGTGTGGCCGTGCGTAAAGCTGGCTCGTTTGGCTTCCATCATTTCGACGATCTTCTTGCTGGCAAGTATAGCAGATGCTGGCTGATACCCGCCTGCCAGGCCTTTACCCACTGCCTGGATGTCGGGCAGGATTTCCTCTTGTCCCCAGGCGTGAAGCGTACCAGTTCGTCCCATGCCACACATAACTTCGTCAAGGATGAGTAATGCTCCATACTTATCACAAACATCCTTCATCGCCCTGAAGTATCCTGGCACAGAAGGTATACAGCCTGAGGCGGCACCCACGACTGGTTCGGCGATGAAGGCCGTCACCGTGTCTGGCCCTAACGTAAGAAAAGCTGCTTCCAGTTCGACTGCTTTCCGAAAGACGAATTCTTTGTCTGTTTCGCCTGCCATTCTCTGGCGGTATGCATTACATGCCGGTATATGATGTACGTTGGGCATCAACAACTGTTCGAAAGGCGCCCTCCTGGCTAAATGTCCTCCCAGACCCAGAGCTCCGAGGGTAATGCCGTGGTAGGACTCTTCGCGTGCAATAAAATTAGTACGCTTAGGTTCTCCCTTCCAAACAAAGTATTCATGAGCAAGCTTCATCGCGCCCTCCATAGCTTCAGAGCCTGTCATTACTAGGTGAGTTGTGTATACGTAGTGATCTGTGGAGTCTTGGTTCCATACCGGATGATGCTATATAGACTTTGTTGAAATGGCCACCCGAGGTCCGCAAGAACCATTGTGACAGCTCCTTCTTACTCTCAGATTCAAAGAAACCCCATGGAACGTAAGATACCCTTCGAGCTTGATCTACCATAGCATCCGTAACATCTCTTACACCATGGCCAATGCAGGCCACAGCGGCACCACCACAAGCATCCAGTATCTCCCGTCCATCACTTAAGTGTAAGTAATAGCCTTTAGCGCTGGTCACTAAAGGTCGATAGTCACTTATACTCTCCGTAGGCGACAGGCAGCTATCATAGGCGGGTTCGTCGATCTGAGGCGCCGGCTCCATTTTATAAATCATTAGAGGCGAACACACCTGATGTCTCGCCTTTAAGATGCTTCTCTTACTTGACACGGAAGAATATCTTCTGATATGCAATATGAAGATAATCCAAAGGCTTGACAAGCTTGACTCCTAATAAGGAACGGCACACCGGTTATGTTTATAGGGCGCCAAATACTTACTGCAAGACAATATCATAGTGGGACTCGCCTGCATGCCACGGCCACCCCTAGTAGCCATGAGAAAGGATGCGCCGGATCGGGCAGCTATATCCTAATAATATTGAAGACTGTCAGGACATGGAACTCGGTCGACCTTCTTGCTAGATACGGTACTCGAAGGACGACTTGTCCTGTACAGAGTACCGAGGTAAGTGATGCAGATAAAGTGAAATGGGTATCACTCTAAATTGCTTAGCGTGTGGGCCTCGCACCTGGGGCCGAGAGATAGAATGTTATGAGAACATTGAATGCTACTCTTTGCACCCACAGGAGGTAAGTCCAGAATGCAGAAGTGCAACCTTGTTCACCGCCATGCATAGGCATTAGATTAGCCTGTCAATGCAGATCCAAGAGTGGCAGTCTTCTCTCGGATTGGCTGGACCAGGATCTTGGTTCTTGGATGGAGACTGGATCGGAACGACCTCGTCGTGGACCTGGGAATTGTATAGGATAATCGTCTTCGATCATGTTCGAGAGGCTTGACTAGATTCACAGCAGCAGGCATGACCCAACCGGCAAGCATGAATGACAGAACGCCAACGTATCTTGCATGGGTGGGACCAAGTGTGTGTTTAGGGGGGACATATTTGAAAGAGACCATCAACGTTGGGAGAAGGGCTTCGTAATGAATGACAGACATATTGCATCGTGCAGCTGCTTGTAAAAGACCAGGATCTGTTTCAATCCTATGCATGGCTTCTTATAGCCGCTGGATCAAGGTATCAGTGATGAACACCTCCTAAGGTGGACTACCGAGGCGTTACACTTCGTCAACTCACGTCACTAAGGACGGGACTCTAAATAGAGTGTGAGTCAAAACTCTTTCGATACTCTTTTGGTGGTTGAGGTACGCCTCCAAGAAGAGTTACATGATGCAGAGGTATGCGGTCAGCTTCACGTGGCCCTCTCCTATTTCAGCTTTTGAAGCAAACACTCCTTCGCAAGGATAGTACGGGCCGAGAGCAGCCAGTCGGGTAGAGAAAGCGGGAGACTAAAGTTATGATTCTCCGGCCCGAGCGAGTAGCTGGAAGTCTTTATCCTTCAGTTCCATACAAGCTGGGATTCCATATTTACACCTCTGACTTAACAGTGGGCTGTGGTCTGGTTCTCAATGGTTAGGAATTGTGCCTTACGATACTGAGGGTGGAGCCCAGAAAGCAAGGGACATTGCAATTCGTGAACTTGGAACGAAATCCTAGAAGAACATCAAAATCTACGACAGTACTCTAAAGGGCTGTTGCTTTGATGTTACATTGTGTTACAATAGATCGACGGGAACAGGAACAATGCAGCCACTTCGATTTTAGACGCTCCAACATTTGAGACATACGGCAGGTCTGTCTGGGGCTGCCTGGGCTATCAATTTGGTTAGCTGCATGCTCTAGACCCTACAGGCTTTCAAATCCTGCAATAGCAGACACCTTGATCAATGACTGGCGGTGAGATGGAAGTGTGAAAGTTGCGTGGTACTGGGAGCGAGATTCTCAGGTCGTCAAGGAAGTTCCCCTTTATTGTAGTATTAAATTTTATTGCATAAACCA